AACTTTATGATTTTGTAAAATTGGCAGTATTTTTCTAAATATTCCAGTAAAAGTGTCTATGCCGGCGCGAAGCGCCGGCTCGAGCGAGAAAGTCCCGTGCGGTCCCCGCACCAATCCGCTAAGCGGATGGGGGGGCGAAGCCCCCCAAATGCCGGCGCGTAGCGCCGCGCATAAATTGGCCGGAGGCCAATTTTTTTTGAGCATTATATCACGTGCTCCGAACGCAAACCCGATCTTCCACCGAGAACTTCACCAAAAATATTTACCCGTCTACCTACTTAAAATGTTTTGAAATTCCTCTCGTTTCCGCTCTCTGCTTCGGAAAGCTCAAAGCTCTCATCACGCTCTTACTCCGGTGTGTGCTGTGTGGCCTCCTCCGTAGTTCCACGTCTCCTCCACCTCCGGTGATTCCCGATTAATAATAATGAGCCTCTTCCCGGGCCTCGAGAAAAATACACTCGTATTTTATTTTCGAGTCTTTTTTTAATTATTTCCCCTCTCTTTTAATATGTTTAAAAGCATAAACAACAGCTGAACAAACTTCAATTTATTTAGGCTCCTTCGCTGCAACTTCTTCCCGTTTTTTCTCCTCTTTTCGCCTTACGATGTCGTTTCATGTGGCATTTCGCGTTTGGTTTCCTTTTCAGGGTTGCCACAGTCGGATAATATCGAGGAAACCGGGAAACGGGAATTTTAAAAAGTCGGGGAAAAATCGTCAAGTCATCTTTATTTGCTTTCTCGGGAGGGTTTGACGTTTCAAAAACAAATTTCACCCGGAAAATATTTCTAACTATGTCTTTTTAACAATCTGGCATTTGTTCAATTGTCAGGGAATTTCGCCAAAATGTGTCAGGGAAATCCGGGAAATGTCTGGGAGTTAAATTTTCCAAATTCTGTGGCAACCCTGCCGTTTGCAGTTTTGCTGATTTCACGTAGAATGCAGTGTTTTATCCTGAGTTTAGGCTTCACTTACGGCTTGTCACTTTAGTTACGTAAAAGCGTATCTTTATTCCCGTATGTGCCATGAGGAGCATGAAGTTTTACGGATGACTGAGCGTATATCTCCAAGTGCAGTTACGTCGTTACGTCATAAGATTCAGTTACACGATCAAATTGAGCCATCAAACTAAAGCTCTGATTGGTGGAAAAAGACCTGAGGTGAGGATGCGACCAATGAGAGGACCAATTTGATGGCTCAATTTGATCGTGTAACTGAACCAATAGGAGTGACAAATTACACGGCTGAAGGAGATGAAGTCCCTCCCATTCCAGAAAAAGTATTTATTTTGAAATAAATGAACATTTTAGGTGTCGGTCTAAGTGTTTAGTTGTAGAGTACCTTTATAGGATGACAATATTGCTACCATCTAGGGAGTTTGAGGATATGTCGAAATTTGGAGCTCCGGGGGCTCAAAAGGGCAGCCAACCTTCTAACACAAAAAATGTCACTGCCAATCTTGCCAACCTTCTAACACAAAAAATGTCACTGCCAATCTTTAGATTCCAATATCAAAGCAAGATGACCAAGCTTAAATGAACGTTCTTCCGCAAAAACGAGTAAATTTATTCAAAACTTAGGTCAAATTTGTGCTTTACAAACAAACGGTTTACGTACGATCTGATCTTTGTATTTATATCTATCTCATATTTTGTTTCAGATCGCTGAGCCGCCAGGCCTCGCAAGACAGCGAAGCACCAAAAGGTAATGCATATTTCCATTCGCTTTTTAATCAAGGAGGTATTTCTTGGTATGAGCATCGGATTTTAATCATCCTCTGTTCATCGATAAAAACGGTCAAATTTTTTACTCCCTTTCCCTTCATCTTTAGTTTCTCACAGACCCTCATGTGAATTCAATATTTTCCTCTCTGTTTATTCTGTAAATATTCTTTCTTTGAAGCTCGAGTATGAAGCAAAGAGAATGAAAGTCAATCGAAAGACCTCGTGAATCAAATATGAAAGTGCAATTTCTGTTACTTTAATAAAAAAGGAGCATTGCCCGTAAGTTATTGATTGGATTTGAAATAGGGTTCTCGTATCTAATATCTTTATGGAATTTCTACATGCTAGCATTTGTTTTAAATAATCGAATAGCTCCTTCCTTTTTGCTTTAAAAGGGTCTTTTTTCATGTGAAGTTCGATGATAAAATCGTCCCTGGCAGCATAGATTTTTGGAGTCTAGAAAACATTTTCATACATTTTCATCAAGTTTAATTCGATAATGTAATCGCCATACAGGCAAGGAAGAAAATATTTTTCACCAATAGCTGGATTCCTTCTTTCCTCTCTGATTAGTCTATTATAATTTACGCTTTGGCTGTAACTAAAATTGAATTAAATTATGTCATAAGAAGCTTTGGCTTATCCGTTAAAGCACCTCTTTGCACAGAGAAACCAAAAATGTGAACCTTGTTTCAAAAATGAGCTAGAAATAGAAGTGCCTTACTGCAAAATGTAGTCTAATTCGTACTCCTTGTTCTAGGAATAATACTCTCTCGTTTTGTTCGCCTTATACAAGTATTATTTTTGGTATTCTATACTGCTGAAGTGAAGATAATTTTTTTTTCAAGTAGTTCGATTTTACTGCAACAACATTTATTACGCGTGCTACTGAGCACAGAATTTTTGGAAACAGCAGAAAACACATTAATTTTGAACTCGGCGTTCTCAAAAATAATGCCAGACTCACGTCGACTTTTAGTAATGCTTGCTGTATATAATTTATCAAACTCTATAATTTTGTTCAACATTTTTTTGTTTCGATTTTATTTACGACTCGATTATTAACATCGAACTGCGATTGGATGCTAGCCTCTCTTCCATGTTTTTAATTTCTGCGGTTTCGCTCAATCATGAAGATTGATCCTTACATTGTCAGTGCCACACGCATATATATTTGATTGATATCCCACACGGGTCGGTGGGGAGCAAACCTTTCCTTTTTTAAAATTGAATAATTTAGAGCTCTCTCCATAAAAATCGCGCGCATTGGAATATCTACCTCCGCTGCCCGTTGATTTATATACTCGCATGGAAGTGTTCATCACCGGTGTAACGGATCCGGTTGGATTAAAAATTTGTGAGGTTAGTCCCGACAGCAGGGAGTGGAGAGGGGTAGGGGTAGAGGGGTGAATGGGAAGGGGGGGGGCGAAAAACGGAAGTGAGTCGTCCCGTCAAAACGCGAAGACAGGCCGGCGAAACAATAGCTGGAATAGTATAGCGCTGTCACCACTTTGAGTGATTTACCCCCTAGCTCATACAACTGGGTTAGAAACGTCAGTGGAAATCGAGAAAAGTTGAGGTATTACACAAAACTGAGGAAAATGGGGGACATTCAGGAAATTCTAATCACAATTTCGTTGAGGAGAATCTCAACTTCGGAAGCTTTTTTGAGTTTTGGAGTTGGTTTCAGCGCAAACCAGTGGCAGCACAGTGTTTCACGCAAAATCTTACTAACCACTAATTTCTGACGCACGCAAGAGCTTTATTCCGAAAAAAATGAGTAAATTTCAAATTTTGTGAAATTCACTGGAGCCTTTCTCGCAAAATTTTACATCGGAATCGGCACTTAAATCGAAAGTTCTCTAGGATTTCGCGCAAAATTTTACATACGAATCGGTGCTTAAACTGCTAAGAGTTCCATTCCGAAAAAATTAATAAATTTCAAATTTGCTGAAATTTACTCGAGCTTTTTGGAATTTCATGATATTTCAAATTGTTCATTGAAAAATTTTACATTTGAATCGGTACTTAAATTGCAAATTCCTGACTTATGCAAGAGCTCCATTTCCTTCCTCCATTTAAAAAGGGAAAACATTTGAATTTCCTGCACGGTGGGAGCCCCTGTATAAAGGAGCGACGGGGTAAAAAAAAGTATGAGAGGTGAGTTGATGGTCCCGCGCAAGGGTGTGATTGATGACTGTTAAGGCAAACGGAACCGGACGAGGGATTGACAGATCGCTGCATAGGCTCAATTCCAAAAGGACGTATTTAAATCAGAAGGAACTACATTCATTCTAACATGAGCCCCGAGAGCCGTAAGAATACATGCATGCCAGGGCTCAAGTCAAAATGGATATAGTTCCTTTTGATGTAAATGCGTTCGAATATATTGGAGTTTTCACGTGGATCGGCGACGCTGACTCAACGGAGGCTGAAGCCGCTGGAACGTGGTCACGGGGCTGTTTGCGGTTCGCTCCCTTTTTTTTCGGTGTTGGAATGAACGCAACGGTGATATATGGAGTACGAGGGAGTAGTGAATCGTTTCAGCTCGACCGGATTGTACGTTTAGGCCGAAAAAGTTGAAATTCGTGCCACTAATCAATCCTCGGAGTAGGGATCGGAAATGTTCTAAAACTGTTGTTCTCCATTAGTGAATTCTGGAAAACCGGGAAATATCAGAAAATTCGCCGTCATCAGGAAAAATCAGGAAAATATCCTCACTGGAGAAAAAAACACATTGGATCTAGAGTCCAGACTCTTGAAAACATTGACAAGAAAAAATACTCTTGATTCAATCGGATTTTTGCTTGAATCAAAACGAAATCCGCTTAAATTAAGAGGCTTGCATGGTTCTTAATTTAAGCTAGATTCTGATTGAATCAAGAGTATTTTTTCTTGTCGATGTTTTTAAGAGTCTGGACTCTAGATCCAATGTGTTTTTTTCTCCAGTGCTGAAAATCGGTTTCATATGAGAAAATTTTGAGTGCTTCAAGCATTTTTAAACGTTTGACTCATTTATATACGTTGATTTTTTATATTGTGCAAGAATCAGGAGATCACGTCTTAAATATCAGGGCCAATCAAGAAAATATCAAGGAAATCCAAAATTAAATTTTACTAAACACCATTTGAAACTGCTCCATATTTTAATTGTCTGACTTCCATCGACACCCTGGAAGACCGATACACTGTTCCTGAGTTCAAGTGGTTCACAGAATCAACAATACAAGTGTAAATTCTGTATATAGTTCCGGGAAAGTCGAGAAAAATCTAGAGTCTAGGAATTAGGAAATTTTGGACCAAAGAAAAAGCAAAAAGAGACATGCATGAGACAATTTTGGAAAATCACTTGGAGACTCAACAAAAAGCCAAAAAAGACGGGGAAAGTCAGAGAATTTGAAACTGTGTCATATTTTAATTTTATAACTTCCATCGACACTCTGGAAGACCGATCCTCTGTTCCTGAGTTAAAGCGGTTCACTAGATCAACAAAAGCGTGATAAAACTCCACGGGTAATATATTTCTGGCCGCTAAAAGCCCAACTGTTTGTCAGCCCTAACACGGAGCGAGTGAGCGAACACATAAATCCCCGAATCCAACAGCGCTCATATGGAGCCACTCCAAGAGCCAAAAGCGAACTCGTCGCATATTTAAATTGCTAATAGATTCGCCTTGTACAACGGCTCCGTTGGCATGTTAACGAGCTCCCTCGCCAGCCCCGTCGGAAAAACAGCCGCGCCACTTTGCCGTCCCATGGAAAAACGACGTATCAACTTTCGGAAGTTGCAAAATTCCCGACGGTAAAATATTTGCAACTTACAACTCATTTGAATATTTGTTATCAGAGTAAACTAAGAAAACACAAGAAAAAACGGGTAATCAAGGCTAAAAAACAACAAAATATGAAGCCTGCACTGGAAAAAAAACACATTGGATCTAGAGTCCAGACTCTTGAAAACATTGACAAGAAAAAATACTCTTGATTCGATCAGATTTTTGCTTAAATCAAAAGGAAATCCGCTCAAATTAAGAGGCTTGGTTCCTGATTTAAGCAAAAATCCGATTGAATCAAGAGTATTTTTTCTTGTCGATGTTTTTTAGAGTCTTGACTCTAGATCCAATGTGTTTTTTTTTTTTCCAGAGTGGGACGTTTTGGGGTGGTTTCTACCTCCTCCTCGACCAGAAAACGAAATACATAAAAAATAATGAAAATTAATGTATCTAGACCCCCATTTTGTCACCTTCCGGGCCAAAGTATCACAAGCGCCATGCGACGTTTTAAAAATTTCCGCCGCCATTTTATTTTTTTATAGAGAAATAGTTGTTCAACGAAGCAGTCCGAAAATTTCACTGAATTTTCTTTGTGCTGCGGATAATATTCAGTGAAATTTTCACACAGATTCCACCAAAAATTCCTACGTAAACATACAAAATAACGGCGGAAATTTTGAAACGTCGTATGGCGCTTGTGATACTTTAGCCGGAAAGGGACGATTTAGTGGTAACAAAAAGGGGTTATCATTTGGGAAGTGAAAAGCAGCGATAACCTCACTTCTTGCTGTCACTAAATGGGGGTCTATATATTGTGATTTGATATTTTTTTAAGGAGGGGGTTGAAATCACACCGGAACATCCCAGGCCCTATGTCTCTTTGTTTTTTAGCCTTGGTTATCCGTTTTTTGTGTGTTTTTAAATTATTCGGGCTATTTTCGTGTATTTTTTTTTTTTTTTTACATCTGTATAAAATTATAAATATTTTCCTTCAAAAATTTTAGATACGCTAGATTAAATCGCGAACACAATTTTCTTTTAAAAAAATGACAAAGAATGATAACAAATGTTTTGGAAATTTTATATTTTATCTGAGCACTGGAAAAAAAACTCCGGCTCTGGAAGCCGTACTTACGGGCTGTACAGAAATACCGTACATACAATACATACATATATATTGGCTCAGAGGCCAAATGTTTAAGGCGTAG